TTCCTTCACCCTTCTCTGGGGATCTGGCTGTAAGCATACTGTAATCCAGCAAGCATGAGTATTCCTGCAAATTTAGAAATGTGTAGTTCTATATGCAATATCTCAACTACAGGCAGAAAAAGAAGAACAATACTTTAAGCATTCTTTTACCCAAAGTAATTTTCTGATTTCAAGACATTATTATAAACAGGAAATTTACAATGAATTATTTTACTTAGGTTATTTTTTATCCCAGTAAAACTCTTTTGGTATAAACACCTTAGTATGTCCATTACACACACTTTCTCAGCTGAACAGAGCTTTTGGCAGTAAATAAAATCCCATGCATAGAAATATTTTTACATTTGTTTGCTGTGCCCAGTTAAGTGTTTGATAACACTTAGCTGAAGGACACAGAACTTACGTCTCATTCATGAAGGAGCCCAAGAACTACAGACAGCTAATACCCAAAATTCAATCACTTCCACAACCTTAAAAAAAAACCCAAAGAAACAAACAAAAAAAACAGAGCAGGAGAAAAATATGACCTCTTACTTTTGCCGATGGGTTAGTCTTCAACATTTGATTTGCCCAAGGAAGGCAAGGTTAGGACAACAGCTGTTCGTTACAATTCCGTCTTTATTACAAGAGCTTAGCTCTGCCACTGCCTGGCTGGCCCATTTCTGCTGGCTTTAGCATCGAGCTCTGAAAGGCTCCTCCTCTTGACAGCATCTGTCTCGGATACTTCCCTCAACAAGCAGCAACAAGGATTTCCACAGAGCCCTTGAGCTGCTGGCAACAAGCTACCAAGTAAGGTAACCCCCGAGCAGAAGAAACGGGTGCTTTGATGGCTCAGTCCAGGGTTTGTCAGGTAGGAATTCCTGCCCACTAACACCATCAGCTCGACGCCAGAGCTGTCACACCTTTGTAGAGTTACGAATCAAAATGACCACTTCCTCGACAAAAACGGGAGCTTGAGTAATGCCTAAAAGCTAGAGGCCAGAAAGCTTATGTCTCCTTGGAAAGTGTGTAGCTACTCCCTGTGATGAATGTTACGAGTCTCAGTCTTCAGAGGAGAAGGAAGGTCCGTTATTTGTTTCTTATCAAGACTTTGCATTTGAGCAAATGAAAAAAACACTGGTGAATTACCCACACAATACTATGAATAATAGGTATAATGCATCTAAATATATTGATTTCAATTCTGGATGAGTCAGAAAGCATCTGCTCCTTCTAACAGCTGCCCTGGGTAAACTCAAGAACTCACCTTTTCACTGGCACTGGCACCAGCTGAGGCAAATCTACCTTCTGCTCCCAGAACCGCTGCCCATGGCACACACCTTGTCATGGCAAACCTACACCTCTACACCGCAACTTCATTGCCAGGGAAAATGATACTGCTTCATAACTCGATTTGCAATTTATGAGGCAATATGCCAGTGTGTTCTCCTGGTCTGGACACAGCCACCTGAACAATGAGCAAGTAGGGAAACCAGATGAACAAAAGATGGAAGAAAAAAGGGCTAAAAATTTTACCTCAAATATATATATACACTAACGTACTTAATGTGACTTACTCTCAGCCGCTGATCAGCACGTTAATCTTATTTTCTCTGCATGATCGCTAAGTACCATAGTAAAATTAGGTCAGAAATTCAGATCAGATCAGCTGACTCAGCCCAGCAAGATCAGACAAAGACTAGTTGCTTTTTTTTTTATTTCACTCCCCAATCCAATATGATGTGTTTTATCCTCTGTGATGTACAACAGACCCGGGTGTTCTGCCCCACAATTAACCTACAAGAACCTCACATGAGGAGGCAGCAGTCACTGAAGGTGCATCAGTGCTCCTGAAGAAATGCAACACAATGTGTCCTTAGGAAGGCAAAATGAAAAAAAAAAAAAAAAAGAAAAAAGGCATTTGTTCAAGTCATTTTTCAGATCTTGTTTCTGAACTGTGGAGGCTAATGCATTTCAATGAACTTTTAAGTCATTCAGCATGGTTATGAGATGATTTAGGTAAATAACAGCAGCTTCCAAGTAGGGTTGCATGTGAATATCACTGCTTTATTAGACAATAAATTACTCATTATTGTGTTGCTAATATACACGATCAGTCTTCTTCTGAAAGAGACCATCTGAACCCTGGCACTGAATAGCTCCTCGAAAAATTCAGTAATTGACTCTATTAGGCAATTTTCAGTAGGTGCCAAAGACTTGGAGACGCTTTATTTGGATTCCTACGAGTCAAAGGAGGGAGGTTTGCTGGAACCCCCTTCTCCTGCTCAAAACCTACCTGCAGCTAACGGCAGGGGATGACTCCCTTGTTGCTAAGGAGATTGGTTTTAGCTGCTGGTAGTCTCCAGACTGGCAGCGCTGCTATCACTGCACATGTGCGCCGCTCGCTATCTAGGCCACGCTATCGGGAATTAGGATAATATAAATACCCACTGAGCTAAGGTAAAGACATAAGGAATATCGCTCGGAACAAAGAAGAAATCAATAATCCTGCTTTACCTTTCCTGGCTGCTGTGTTTCTATAGCCAACACGGTCCTGGGCAAATCTCTGGAGGTTACTACAGGCAGCAGACTCAATTGCAATCGGCCTTAGCTCCTTCAGACCCCAGGGCTCTTTTACTCAGATCAGATGTTCTCCCTCCATCTTTAGTTTTCCTGATCAAGAGCTGATCACAAATATTTCCCTCTCCAAGTTCACCCAGGAAAAAGACAGAAAAAGACTGAAAGACAGCATTTCCCAAGACTTCCCAAGGTGTTTTTCCTGGCTTGTTTCCTCAGGCAGGTATCATTTACCCTCTTCATGTCACTGAGATAAGCCAAGTGGGGTGGAAGTAAATAACTTCATGGTTTGGCTCAGCCCTAAATCATCTGCACTTATCCAGAGCTCTTCATCACATCACTTTGCCACGATCAATAAATAAAAACCACACAAACCAACCACAAGGGAGGAAATACCGTTACCACCATTCAGATTAGGTAGAAAAGCGTGGCTAGAGGACTGCAAAGAACCAGGTAGGTCCAAATCTTATCCTGTCACACCCCAAGACATTTACTCATAACAAGACCAGTTCCAGCACTTGGTCACCTTTATGGTCACACATTCAAAAGTGCATGTGAACAGGTTAGCCAGAGCACAGTCTAATGGGCTGTCTGAAAACTCTTGGGGGAAAAAAAAATAAATAATAATAATAAAAAATAATCAATGAAACTGTGAAGTTTCAATAAATTAAAGATACTTGCAAATTTGGTTGTATTTTTTTAATATTTTCCTCAGTGAGGAAGAGTCAGCAAGGCGAGACGAGAAAGTACTCTTCAGCTCACTACTTCCAAACTGCGATCTACTGCCTGGCGCTTTTGGATTTGCTCACTTTGCAGGTGAAACAAATCGTTGCTTTGCTTAATTCAACTAGAATTTAACTTCATTCTCCAACATATTAAGAAATATTTTGAGGTGGTTCTCACTATCACCTCCTCTTGGAAACGTCACTGTTTATGTAGGTATTCAGTAATCAAAAGAGAGAAGTGAACACTAAACAAAAGACAGCAAGAATGAAACCAGATACATATCCAGGATAAATTAAAAAAAATAATAATAATCCCTCCTGCATAAATCTGCTGCAAGGACTAGAATTTTCTCTCGTGAAGTCCCACATAATACAGCTCCTGCTACAGGTAGCCTATGGCTTTGACTGCTCAAGAGCTTGAGTTCCCCTTAAGATCACCTAAAATTTGAGCTGACTAGGTAATAGTCCAGAAGGTACCAAAATACACGTTGCATTTGCTCTCATTATTCACCTTGATTTCACATTACTCTTATCCCCACAAGCAAATTAATGACAACCCAAAACCCCCTACTTCCTCGAACGTAAAGCAGGCATAGCTTTGCTTCACGCTGCTTCTTCTCCCTCCTCTGTGAAACTATACGTGCTGCTCTTTTCCTTTTAACATTCCGTCAGAATTACCAGACTGCTAAGGCGTCGCTGGAACATTCAGAGCACAGCATGTCTGTTCTACCTGGATGTACAGTACCCAGGGTAGAGCATAAAATTTAATCACTTAAACTGAAATCCAGAAGGTTCATGCTGGGGGGAAAAATTTCAAAGGACCTCCTATCAGTTTGTGCTCAAGCCACCCGTTTGCATACAAAAGTTGAGCATTCGGATGGATGGTTTAGCCATATTACACAATTGGTTCTTCTCCTCAAGAAAAATGCAGGTTTTTATATGCAAACGTGCGTATAATAAATATTTATAGCTATCCCATTCAACCTTCTTTTCGTCTCCGAGAGGCCGCGGAGATTTCTTTGCTATCCATTGGCACAAGAGGCCAGGTCATGTGAGTTCTCCTCTCATTAACCGTCAATTAAAATCAATGGAATTGTTCAAGAAGAGCCATTATAGAGTTCTGCCCATCAGGGGCTTGATCCATTTTTCTTTAAATGATTGCAATATTTTCACTCACTTCAGAGCATGCAGAATGGCAAGGAGGTCATAAACAACAGACACCAATTTTTTTGTAATACCTCAGACAGCAGTCAGAGAGCTTTGAAAATTCATCAGGTTTAAGAGTCTATTTCGACCTGACTGTCTTGAAAGAGCTCACACACAAACATATCCTTGCACGAGGTACACACTGCCCATCTCAGAGCGCTTAGAAGTGCCAAGTGGGAGAGAACCTGTTTTCCACTAGATCCACACCTCCTGTTCCAAACACCTCAACTTTTCGTGACAAATCACACCTGCTGAAGATGCCACAACAGGCTCAAACTGAACGCATTGGGACAGGGACATTCTCTGCCGCCGCGGGAGGCTGAATCGTTTTGTGTTGCGCCCATGCGACGCAAAGCCTGCGCGGAGAGCAGCCTGCCATGGCCCCCTGGGCTGGGCTGCTCGCACCAGCAAGCTGCTCAGAAATCAGCTCTGGGTATTCACCAGCTGCGAGACCGAGCCCCTTGCTGTCCATTCACTCTGCCAGACCACTCAGCTTTTCATTAGAATATTTACCGTTTTATTGCTTCTTCTTGTTTTCGGCGTTTTTCACTCTTTTCTTTCAAGTAAGCCAGGTTTGTTTCATTCCTCATGCGATCATTCTCTCGAGCAATGTCTGATGCATTCTGTATAACCAAGCCATCATAGGCCTTCATCCCCATATCTTCAATATACTGGAGAAAAGCGCCCAAAGTGACCTCCTCCTGATTAGAACTCATCATCTTGCAGGAGATAATGAACAAAGGAAAGTAACGTTTCCTGCAGGTTGAAAAACACATAATACCTTAATCAGTAGGAAAATAGCTTATGGTTTATGACAGCGAGATTGTGTCAATTGTAATTAACATCTCCGTAAGAGACAAGTTTTTAGACTTTCTCCTGTCTAGAGGATAATAAACAAAGCAATTCAGAACACAGAACAACATTACTCGAGACCAGAGGAGATAAAAAAAACGAAGTCTTTTCCCAAGCCATGCAGATCCATCCACTTACACATTGTTCGAATCCCAAAAAGGTTTTCTCCCACTCCTTCCCCTTTTCTTAACACCCTTCAGTTGCAACAACGCTGATGTCCCCGACTCTTGGTTTGAACTGGACTGAAAAGGCTTCCACCCCAGGACAACAGAGCCTTCTTGCAGTTTAGATAAAGCTGCACCAGAGCAGGTCACCAGACAAAATTCTTGTTCTGCACGATATTCCGAAGTTCAGGTGAAAAATACTGTTCTAAATTTTGGGGGGAGTGGAAAAACTAATAAAAAAAAAAAAAGCTTAAAATTTTCTTTGGATCCAAAATCTGGAAAAAAAAAAAATTGTGAAATATTTTCCTGCATTTCTTAGTAATGTAGGTATGAGCACATAAACTCTGGTCATCTGTTGGCTCGTTAGCTTGGAGCTCCAAGAAGGGACAAGAAACCCCAGGGCCCTCTAAAGCCCCTGAATTCTCCAAGCTTCCATATTTCTCCCATGGGTACGACAGACCCTTGGGTTGCCAGCACCCCCAGGCGAGCAGCATGGAGCACGGCCTCACTCAGGTCCGCAGCCCACTCCTGGCTCCATGGCAGGGGCCCTAAAAGCTCTCGGAAAAGCCCCCAAGTTTTTCCACTCCATAGCAGATCCCCTGGGAGCAGCTGGCAGCCAGACACATCAGTCAGTACCACAGGTGGCTAGAGGCAGGGCATCACTTCAAGAAACAGACTGGCTACCTAAATTCTATACAACTGGATTAACTGCATATTAAACGAGTGAAAGAGAACTCCAATCAAACAGAACTGCGACCGAGCGCCACGCTGGCGGGCCTGGCAGCTGAACTCAGCTCTCTGAGGCATGTTTGCTTCTCTGCTGCCAGAGCATCCCTCCCCTCCCCACAGAAGGATGGGGTGACTTCTCGGAATCAGACCGAGAACCGTGCCAGCACCACAGCTCGAGGAGTTATTATTGAACCTGCCTGCACGCTGATTATAGGGGCAGAGTCCCTGTGCAATCAGTGACAAAAGCCCTTCCTCCTTTTTCTAAGGTGCTGCTATATTTCTATTATGCTGCTGGACAAACAAAATTCCAATCAGGATAGGCATTGATCCTAACCGCCCTCCCGCCCCAAACCCAAACAAACAAAAAGAAAAACCAACAACTCCCCCTTCCCAACAACAACAAAAAAGCCAAACAACTTAACCAAAACCGCAATAAATTAAAAGCTATTATAGATTCTAGAAATCCACTTTGGGCCTTCAGGCACAACCCCAAACATGAAGATGAAATGCTTTTACATCCATGGAGTAAGCAATCTGCAAGGGATGAGGGAAAGAAAAGAGAAATATTTTTTCCACCTGTTTCATTTTATCACGGTTTTCCCAGCACAAGTGGCTGGAACTCCTGGGCTGGAAGGTGCACCGAGCCATCCCCAACAGCGGCACCGCACCTGCGGAGCAGTGAACTGGGAAGCTGACAGCGAGCTAAACAGATTTTAGCGGTGCTACTGCTGCTTCAGTAGAAACCGTTCCAGACCAATTTCTAACCCTTCTGATTAGGAAAGGTCAGTCCAGGCAACACAGACTCTTTCCCCGAGTCTCTGTCTCGACAGCATGAAGCCTACCTGATTAAAGACAACGCTGGCAGCACAGGCAGCTCTAACTCCAGTGTCGACGATTTCTCAAAGGGTAGCATCTGCTTGTCAGTGGTTCAAGTCTGAGCCTGTCCCCCAGTAGATGCCTATTTCACTCTATCTTTCATTCTGGACTTCTAGCAAAGCCTAGTTCTGTCATGCATTGAATTAAATCCAGATAAACCTCGTACACAGAGAAACCCCACCCTAGCAACCTTGATGTCAGTTTTGCATTGATTTCTTCTGTGACTAGATTTTATGCCTGAAACATAATATGAAATTTTATACTGAACATCACTTCAGCAGGCTTTCAATAAATGCAGTTCTGATCCATTTTTTTTCCCAGAACACACAGAACTTGATCTACTTCACACTCTCTTTTATGACAACAGTACTGCATTTACCCACCCCCCCCTTCATTGTTTCCCTTCCTTTTTGGAGAAGTGAACTGACACTTAAGGATATGCTGATTCTCCTTTTATTACAATATTTATTCTTCATAGGAGAGAATAAAGTCATCTCTACTGCAAAAAGACTAAAATCAAAAAGCCTTTATTCTGCTGCATCCACTGACCACACACTTTGTATGTTCGTTTATCACTGATGTTTTCTATTATTGAACTCATGCAGCATGACAAAAATTTATGCAGCATTTAATAGATCAAGATATATTCTTTGTCCTAACAGGGGTTTAATCCCACAACAGTGCTGAGCAACTGCTGAACTCCTCCTTGTGACTGTTGATGCTCACACGCTCAAGACACCAAATTCACTTGGGGGCACTCACTGTAACTCGGAGTTGCTCCATTGGGGAAATTCTTTTGACACTCCTTTCTCTCCCTCACCTCATGGTGAAGGAAGAGAAGGAGGCAGCAGGAAGGAGGAGAAGCCCTGGGTTTCAGCTGCCTAATCCAGCCTGCTGAGAAGTCAACAGAAATTAGCTGGAGGAACTTGTTGCTCATGCCCACTGAGCACATTTTTGGAAATCCACCAGAGTGCAAGGACACAAAGGAGTTCTCCAACATCTGTGCTTTGCCTCTTAAAGGTCAGAATAACGCTACGTGAAACCTCACCAAGGTAAAACAACAAAAAGGCCCACGGTCATGCTCACAGGCACCTGCCCCTCCAAGTAACCCCAAACCAGAGAGCAGTGGGGAAGGAGTGCAGAGCAGCACACACAATCCCGGCCCAGGCCCTCTTGGCATGGGAGGAGTAAAGCAAGCAAGACTTTATTAATTTTTTTTCCTTCCCTGCCAGTGTATCTGGTTTACTGGCAATGGTGAGCAGCGCCCTTACTGGTTTGCCTAGAAATATTTACATAGCTAAATTCAAGATCTTCGCGTTGATTCAGACGCAATTTCTACAGGAGGATAAGGCACTGCTTCACAAGGCCATTGCACATCTTCTAATTTAACTATTGGCTCTGACGCTAAACATACAGCATTCTTGATCAGACCCCAAACCACCTCCTTTTCACATGATCTGTGTGCAAAAAAATTGAATTCAGAGCAAGGAGTAATCGACCCAAAATCACAGTATCAAAGCAGTGCTATGCATTAATATTCAGACATGCAGTTCTCCCTCATATTCACATGAGGATCCCCCAAAATATCAGTTGCTTTTCAGCATGCTTGACAGCCATAAGCTGCAGCTGCGCTGCATTGAAAATTGGCAATGCTGGCATTAAACTGAAGGAGCTTTTTGAAGTAATGACAAAGGCACTGATTGCCTTCTTCCAAACCAAAGGAATTTATTTTTTTTTTCTTCCTCCCAGGTTTAACATAGGAGAACAGAACCTGGAAACACAAGAGTGGGTCTGCCCAAAGTCCTGAGTCCAACCCCTAACAGTCCTGTCTGTCTCCCAAGTCCTGCCTCCTCTCCTTCAGAAAACACCCAGCTTTTGCTTTACCTGTCAATTCCCTCCACTAAATTCAGCATAACGGAAGTATTCTGCACAAATCAAGGATGGTAATCCTCCATTTCACCCTCGAGTTTGAGCTGTTGCATTCTAGTTGCTTGCAGGGCAGCAGGAGCAAAGTAGCAGACCAGCCATATCCAATTTTCACAAACTGCTGACCACAGCAGCACTAATAAGGACCTAATGGCATTGGGTATACAAAGAATACTTTCACTGCAACCAGCAAAGGATATCCTAGAGGCTACTCCACAGAACTCTGTCTCCTGTCATAATCATGCCTTACGCCAAGTGAGCTTTGAAATACCCGAGCAGCTGAATGTGATGAAGCAAACTGCCAAGAGGTGCTTTTGTAGAGTTGCATTCCCTGCTCGTTCTTAACAATGATCCGGCGTTACTGCTGTCACACACAGCAATGCGTTACATTCCAACGTGGAAGAGGAAAGACTTTCTGAAATAGATCATGAGTTTCCTACTTGATATCATTTGGCAACTTTTTATACAGTTGTTTAAAGGAAAAGAACCACTATGTTCAATTGGAAGTACAAAACATACTTTGCGTTGAGACTGGGATTGCAAAATACATGCCTTGTCCTCATTGCACAGCATGAGCTCTAGCACCTCGGTGAAATCACTGGAGCTAAGTAGTGCTAAGCCTTTCACTTAAAGAGGTTAGAAGTGGCTCCTTTAGTAGAATGAGAATGCTATAGCATAAGTTGAAATAAATAGGCCATTTTTGTAGACACCTCACCTTTCACAGGAGGATGCTGGGTTACCTGTAGTTTTAAGAACTGAAAAAAATTCCCTGAACCTTGAATTTTGGCTCTCTTGCTAGTGCCTTTTCAAGAGGGAGAAGGTCTTTGCTAACAACGACTCCAGAATGTAAAGAGCTGTTGTTTACTTGGCAAGAGGGCAACACTTTCATCACTTTTTATCCCCTGAGGAAAAGAATGCTTCCTCCTAATCACACAGATGTTGGACAATTATAAATCTAGATTCAGAACGGCCTGCATTTAAGTGCAATTATGGCATTTTATCATCCCACTATTGTGCAGAAGACTTAGGAACAGCAAGAAGAAATAAACCCACATGACACACAGACATATGCCCACTCATTCTGCATGCAAACAGCAGTGCGTTTGAACTCAAAAGAAATAATGAGCTTCTTGCTGATGGATGTACCTTCTTCTTCTGCCTCCTTAAGAAAA